GTGTGAGTGAAAAATAAATTGTTTTCTTCTGACGTTGGATTGATATCTACCACGAAGAAGTATTATATTGAAGAATAACTCCCAACTATATTATCCCAATTATATTCAATATAATAGTGTCGTCATTAGGTAGGTACATCGGCGTTTCGTGCAATATGTCGTTATATAAGTATCAGACACACAATATATATTATTATTGTTTAACGACAAATTATTAATGTTGTATAGATATTTCGATTTTTTTTCTCATGAAAATTTTAATTTATAATGAAATGGGTACTCGACCTATAATATTCTACTAACGATTAACGGTCGACGTTCAATACATTTTCGTCACAATATAATAAAATATGTACAAATATGTTGGGTAAGACCTGTCATACCTCCTTACTTCTCAGCCAGAATTCCGCAATTCAAAAATATGGCCCATACAAAATTATTTTTGCTTGTCGAACGCTAACAAATCGAGGGTCACATTATTGTAGATACAAAAAACCTGATGGTGAATAATTGATAACCATAAAACAATGGACTACAATGTAGAAACGAGTAGGATGTAACTGAAATGTTTGGATTCAGCATGATAATTCCTGTTCTCAGAAGAAATAAAAACTAACGTGATCGTGTTCCGGCGCATTGTACAACTTCCGTCAACCGGTCACGAATTTCCGGATAAGGGAAAAACGGGCGTCGTGAACGGCACACCAGTTTTGAGTGATTTGACACCCGTTGATTTTTTTCTCGATCCCTTAAAAATCAGTATTTTATAATAGACTTTTTTTGTTTATCTTTTAGTCAGTAACTATAGTCTATATGACAGCTCGACAATGATTCAATTATACGTTCATACAATTTTACTACAGTGAACACGCATTTCAATATTAAATCGGAAACAAAAATAATAATTAAGAGGGTAAAGTAGTGTTAAACACATATGGTTCGGAGACCCATGAAAATGTCACGGTTATGGATAAAAAATTTGGTGATTAAAATATTATTCTTACATCCATATTATATTATGCACGAATAGAGCAACATTGGTCAATTTAACTTTTGAAATGTTGACAGTCAATAAGCTATATTGCACCTACCTATACATTTTGGCTATTATGTTAAGTATGCAACACAACATAGAATAATCGGCACTTGTTCGGTTTTTTAAATTTAATCATATTACAAAATGTAATTAAGTACACAATTCTAAGTCATTGAAAATAAAAATAAATCTACTCCATGTAAAACTATCGAAACAATAATTTTATATTATATACATATTTAACTGAAGCGAAACGAAAAACGGCAGAAAGATAGATTATTTTCAATCAGGTAATACACTCAGTAGTAGAAAACGTGTACAGCTTATAAATGCGTCGGTTATATTAATTACTAACTCTATTATTGGTATAACGTTAACGGGCAAGGAACACTAGATCCGTTTGAATAATAGTGTGTTCAAGATTATTAAAAAACCAATTTAATTTTAAGGAAATAAATATCAAACGTTAGGCCGGGCGCACATTGAGACGCAGGCGACGCAGCGCGGCGCAGGAAAAACTGAGTTGCGTTTAATTTTAATGCAATTTAAAACACTATAAGCATTGGTATGTTATTGTGTTACTTACGAATGATAATAATACAAACAAATTATACCTATTTCGTTCAGATTTTACACTCGAGTTACCGTAGTAGGTGTCGAGCTAACAACACATATCGAACAATGGTTGTGTTTAACATAATATTGTAATGTCAATATTTACGTTGTCGTGCGTGTATTGTTTTTAATTCGATGCACTCGAATAATTATTGCACAATGCAGGGCAGGACATTTGGATGCATTTATTAAGACCTCGTCCTCATACACATCCGAGAACGCGTTATTAGAAATCTAAAAGTTTCTGACTGTGTTTTATATTGTTTTACCATATATAATACCACGTACAGTCGGTTTTAGTGTACTTGTGTACTTGAGTTCACGGGCCAATCGGCGTCGGTGTAAGTCCCTTTGTGAATTAATTCGACCGAGATGGGCAGATTGCCCGCGGCGGATTGGACATAGCACTTCGTATATTTCCGAACGTGGTTCAAACTACTCTCTAAACTTTCCTAATATCTCTGCGAACAGTTTGGAATTTTTGTCAAAACCAGTCGACCATAGTCTTTGACTGGTACATAATATTATATTATATTCAGATGCTAACATGCGTCCATTTGTACACGCGTATCGATGTACCGTGCGGTGACCGAAAAAAAAAAAGGAGTACATTTTATACAACTCAATTAAAACTTTCATATTACACGCAGTGCCCTAAACACATTTTTTCGTATTTCGTTTGAGGGGCGTGATACTAAAATTATGGACAGTAAATATGCCTATGACTCGCGACTGTTCCACTATTGTATCTTGCGCATGCGCAGCGACTTCACCTATTTCTGTGTTCTCTGTTTTCTCGGACACGCGGTATATAAATAATATTATTTTTTATCTATGGATAGTTTGTGCAGAAGTTGCGTGTGGTTCTGCAACCGATGGCAATCCTACTTATATGATTTGAATAAAAAAATATTCGATTTTCGTGAGCCAAAACGGAATGCATGTGTGAATAAGGGTTGTAAAATTGAGCTATGAAAATTGGTGCCAATAGATTCAGTAGTTTTGAAAGTCTGTGAACCCCCATTCGAACATACATTGTTTTTTTTATGTAAATAGATGTTGACGTGCGCTATAGTATAATATGCGTAACGTGTTAGAATGTCAAACATAACGACGAGAACGTCTTAACGATATATTATTATTGGACTTCATGCGACCCATAGTTGAAGATTGGGAGGGGGGGCTTAGATCCCCAAAATGATTCATGCTCAATAGCCCCCGTTAAATATATAATAGATATCTTCCAATCAAATACCTAGGGATATTAAAGAATTGATAAGCATAATTTTTTATTGGGGTTATGTTTTAGGCTTCGACCACTCCCCCCCTTTCTAAAAAAAAAACCAAAAACTATATTTATACATAATTTCATATGAACACCAGCCCATATTATGTTTATGCTCCCCATTATGAGTAATGACGCATCACAAGACGACTCGATCACAATGAAATTTCTACCCGCCGCTGCCAATGTTGCAGACCGCAACTCGGCAAGTCCGCTATATATCATGGAAATACCGACGTTTGCGGTTTCCCCAGATCGATGACGTACGACTATAATAGTAATATAACATTGTACGTATGTGCACGCAATTACGCACATTATAAAGTTACATAATATCATATCAATACATAATATCATAACAATACACACATAATAGCGTTAATATTGTACGATATTTTCGCGATTCCCGGCAAAGTCTATAATATAATAATAATATCTCAAGTCTCGTCACTAATAAACGTCTTATCAACTGTTGCGTTTTACCGTAAGTACGAGCACTGTGTGTGTGTGTGTGTGTGTGTGTATTTTACGCAAACTGCAAACTTATATGTGTACCACATAACGCGTACCTATAGACGACTTTTAATGGCAAAGGAGATTACTAATATTGTCCGCCGTGTATTACGCGTAGCTGTCTTGATACGTCTTGTCTATATACTCATACAATAATAAATCGCAAGATAGTTTTACTTCGATGTTAGAATAAAGTATAAGCATATACCTTCCTAATCACATCAGAGTGGGCTTTTTTTTCCGTGTACAATTTTAAAACGTATAATACCATGGCATTACATAATATTTGCATACTGAAATAATATAGTGTTGCGTTATTTACGCAAGTTGATAAATCACACATGTTTTAAATAAAAATACTGGGAATATGGTTTGGAGTTAAAATCTAGTGTAAAAAAAAACTAAGACCACAACTTGCGTAATAACCATAAATGCTCTACTTTAATAATAAAATGCACCTACGTGCGGTAAGATTAATTCAGGTACCTACCTGAGGTTATGTTTGTAGGATTTGCCGCTTAAATATTTACGTCTACAAAAACGGCGTAGGTATAAATGTTGGATTTTTCTTTTAAATTAAAAAATACCCTCCAGTAATATTCATTTAATTTTGAATGGACTCTCACATCAATGTTTAAACGAAAAAATGAATCTGAAGAATTCGGAAAATCCAACGAAAATATATGAAAATAATCATTATATTTTTCAAGGAAAAGATGTACCTATTTGTTGTATAAAATATTTTGTAATTTGTTCTTAAAAAAAAAAAATAGGATACAGTATAGATACTATTACCATTATTACTCCTGATAGGAACGTGGGCCAACTATGATGGTAAATAACAAACACGAACAAGTACCACAGGGCTCGAACACATTTGTCATATAGTGATATAAACTGTTAATAACAATGATGTCAGTATGTAAAAATTGAAAACACAATATGCTTTCACAAAACCACATAAATTAGAGTGTTTCATTTATTTGTCTCGAAAATTACAATAAATTAAAATAATATTTATAGCAGAAACCAAATATACAATATAGAAATAACATATCAAAATAAAAAAAACATTAGTCGCAAACGCATCCAATAAGCATTCTATGCGTGAATGCGGACGAGCCGAGTTCTTAGTAAAAAGTGAATTATAATGAAATTATTATATAACATTACGAACATAATAACAAACTAAAAACATGAGCAAATATTATTTATACATTTCTTATAGTTAATGAAATTATCACAATTAGCTAAATTAATATTATATTTACGTAATAAAAATATACGTCCAATTACTGGGCTTTGAGTTCCTAAATTAGTATGATGAAACGGTACAATTAAATTTCAGTTATTTTTTATTCTAGTATAATAAAAATGTAAATGTTTGTATTGATTTATGTCAACTCTAATCACGTATGATAAAATCTGCCATTCATAAGTTTGAACAAAAGTTAGAATTTTGAAATCAGAATAAATATAATTATTCGTCTGTATACAATTTTGGTTTGTTGAGAATAACTTTAACTAACGAATTAATAATAATAATTTTAGATAAAACATTGTTATGCGTAATGTAAACATCAAGACAAGGCATGCAAAAACCGATTGTAGTAAAGTTAAAGAAACTAAAGTAAGTAAGCCGAGTAAGTTGACTCTATATTAGATATTTACTGTCCAATATATTTTTAAGCTATCTATCTGATCTATTGATATAATTTCCCAATACGATTATTTACGAATTTTATTATATGTTCAACTAATTTTAGTCGATGGTCAAAGAGAACACCTCGATGTTTAATACAGTCAACCCCTTCCAGAGGTAAACACATACCTGATCGATATAGACGGATTTCTTCGATATCTTGTATGGTAGCCGTAAAGGAATATCGGCATTTTGTATGGCGAATTGCTAAAGTGACTGTGAATATAAAACATTTATCACTAGTGTATATAGGTAACCGCTCTGCTGTACAGAGTGTTCCGAATTTACCTTGTCGTTGAGTGAGTCACAGTAATTTGAGTCAATTTGAGTTGAATGATGAATCAATGCGTAGGTATAAAATATTAAAATGTTTAATCACGCCTGCCAATCGAAAATCAATTCACCTCAAGCACGAGTGAATATGGTACAGCTGTGGCGTCATAAGCTGCAGACAAGCAACGGGAAGTAAGTCTGCAAAATATCACTTAAATACTAGATGCACGAGCCCGTTTGTCTGAAACAATATTAAGCATCGGGAAGCAAAACTAGAAACCACTTGAGACGAAACCACCCAAACACCGTTCGACGACTACGAACAAAGCACGCGGACAATCGATACAACAAGTGTGTGGTCGTGTGGACTAAATTTTGAAAATCCGCGTTTCTCACGTGTTGGAAAATCTTCTGATTTATTTGAGAAAACGGAAAACAAAAAAATATCTTGTACCCAAAAGCACTTCTACAAACATGATCAAAGCGAGGTATCACACTTTTAGATTTCGTTCATAGAAAATGAACAAACAGATACGAGAAAAAAATAAAGATTCAAAACAAATTAAATAACGTTATAACGAGTTTTATTTAAAGTCAACGCATGCTATGTTTATCTAATAATGATAATGTAAAAAAAAATTATTTTCCATTGTAAGTAAATATAAATTAAAAATAAAAAATAAAATAAAACTTCAGACAATATAATTGATATCAAACTTTCAATTGCGTTGATTAGGTATATGTATAATGTATGTACCTACTGAATCTTGATATAGCGAAGTATCTATAGGTCACAACCGTGACCTACTAACTAGTAGTATTATAATAGGTATGTATATATATATTAAAAAAAGTATACATATATATATGCTTTTTTTATTTATCCAAGTCACAACTTTAGCAGAAAAGTCCATTATTTACATCATATTTACATCTTATTAACTTACATGCAATTTAAATTTGTATGTTTTTTTTGGAAGATTTTAACTTTTATTTGTTATTTTAAATGAGGTTATATATTATATGTATATTAGTTTGCTTGAGGAAATTTATCGGATTTCAGTTTTGCTTGTGATTAGATCGAAACGTGGTGTCAAGATTGTGGGTGATCCTGTGTTCGATCCGATCTTGCTGAAATTTCAATCAGACTGAAATGATTTGCTAACGGATTAATCAGATCCACAGGTTTGACATAATACGGGGGAGTCTTTTCTAGCCATCAGGAATCCGTGAGTGATTCTGGCGTAGCCTGTTTGGTACACTTTCTACCTTCCGTGAAAGGATGAAGTATTTCCATCGATATGTTGCTCTTTTCATTTCATTTAGCCTGGAACTTTGTTTATTCCAAACGTTTTGACAATATTATTTTTGATGGTTTATTTGATGCATCTTTTTTGAGTTTTCAAAAGACATTTGTTTCATTAAAAGAGTTTCAATATTATTCGTGTTGATTATTAAAGCCAGTTTGTCCGATATTTTGTTACCTTTTATTCCTGATTAGCCTGCAGGTATCCACACGATAGTCTGTTATCCGTATGCTATTCACGCGTTATTTTGTTGTTAACTTTAAGTTACAAAATAATGACTCACCATAGAACGGTATAAATAGGTACGTGGCATATATAGTCAAAACTCAAAAATTAATCTTAATAACTTTATAGAAAATATCATTGTTTATGTATAATGAAATATAATAATATATTTAAAATTATCAAGTACCCTCCAGTCAATGAATAGTTTTGAATTGCAAAAAAATAACTTACATCTCTATGTCGAAAGTGTCATAAATGTGTGGCTTCTTCAATCAAGTTGTTCAAGTTTTCTTTAAGTTTTTTATAATTCATACAGCCATACTCCTATTGTACCAGCTGGTAAAAATTGTGTATCTAATAGAAATAAAATCAAAAAAATCTCTATTCTTCATTAGATATATATTTTTAATATACAGTATATTATATCAAAAATGCACTGTTAGCTCACATTTGAACAAAATAAATGCTGATTAAAATTTATATTTTGAATGATCCCTTTTTTGTTTTGTATGTTCTTGCCTCTTCGATTTTAATTTTCTAAATATTAGCCCTCTGGTAACTTTGAGTTATCCATCTCTGACTGTTAAGATTTTTAGAATAGAGTAAGAATTACTTAATACTGATTAAATTATGAAACCTTAGAAATATAACTATTAAAAAAAAAACTTCTTAAACTACCAAAAACTTAATACATTATTTTTAAATACAAAATCATTTTTCATTTTTCACATACCTATTCTTACATCATTGCGAACGGAAACAATTCTAAAGCGTGCTTGGCTTTCCCGAAAAGCCAACAGTTGTTAACATTTAGTTAAAACCATGATTTCAATTTTTCCACAAATTCATATTAGGTGGGTATTAAGCAATAATTAAAACATAATAGATTTATTATTATATAGTAATAATGACGAATATAATATAGGTATAATACAAATCTATGTTTACTGAACAATGTATGTTATATCCGCATATCGATGGAAATATAGTTGCTTACAGAGTTTTACAAAATTGTATCTAAAATCGAAATGATCATCTAAATAAAAAATTATTTGGATGATTCCCTACTCTGGTTGCTTATCTATATCCGGGTTTATAAGAAATTATATTGAGTTTTTTGGTATAACACCAAAGCGAAATGATATACTCGTATTGTATAGGACCTCCCACTTTTAAATGTTTGATTCACACAAATAAATTACAATATTATTGTTGCGCTTGTTTGAGTTGCACAACCCAAATTGAAAGTCCTGCTTAAATGGGAGAACACAAAAATTCCATCATCGTTCATCATTCAGTTTCAAATAATTTTGATTGCTTTTGTAAAATCACATATTATTATTGTTTTATATTTATATAGGATCACACACCCCTTAAACAAACGAATCATACATAAAATATATAATTGTCAAATATTATAACTGATACGCTTATAGGTATTTACATACTTAATTTTGTAAAAATAGTTATAATATCAGAGATGATAACGTCCTATACTCAGTAGGTCATAACAATATATAATACAATTTAGAGAAAACACTGGTCTCTTACTAATAAGTGTACTGTTTAAAATTTTAAGAAAAATTATATCTTGTGCAGTCACACAAATGTTTTCATAGAGCATCAGTTAGTTATTTGTTCTTAAAAGATCGACAGTGCCTAGGTATTCGAGACTAGGTATTTTCTTTTGTTATGGTTGATCATAAATATGTTTTCCATCTCCTTTAGTAGATATAGATACCTCTACTGTGCAGCTAAATTTAAAGGTAATGTGACACATTATTGTGGTATGACCTGTATATTTTGTCGCAAAATTATGATGGTCGTACATTAATTGATAAACTACGGTAACTTTGTAGCTTACCGTTTCAAAGACTAACAACGATAGTCGATTTCATTTGAGCAATATGCGTTGGAATTGAAAAATAATATTGGCAATGGGCGCTTCGAGGATTTAGCCCTTGATAGCTTCATCTGCCGTAGTCTTCTTAACAGCCGACGTCTCGAGTTACGAAAATAAACACAATAAATACTGTCGAATAGGCCGCAGTTTGCACTGTAATTGCACTTAACGTCACAAACGTGACTGGCGTATCTGATCGCGTTCTAAAAAACTCAAAAACCCCGGACGACACGATAATTATTGTTAAAGAGAATAAAAATAATGTATACCACAAACGTCAACACGACGGCTGCGCCCATCCGTCGTATAGCTTCTTTTTTCTTTTGACCAACTAACTGATCGAAACCATGACCCGACGTAGTAGACGTCGTGCAATTATTCTATAGTTGTAATTGTGTGCCACCGTTGTGATCTGTGTGACTTTTCGTGTGTTTCCGCTGCAGGGTCGGACCACCGGCGTTGAGTGGGTGGGCAGCAGAGTTCGATGAGTGGGTCGCCGTCGCCGCCGCCGCGGTAACAACGGTCGACCGTAGAGACGCCATGCCGGCCACGGCAGTGCTGGCGGCCACGGCAGTGCTGGTGCTGCTGCAGTGCGCGGCCACGGGTTGCGCCGCCGCCGGCCAGAGCGCGGCCATACGGCACGGCCGGTCGCGGAACGCCAGGAACCTGCGGCCGAACGCGCAGGCGCCGCCGGCCGCCAAGCCGCAGCAGACGGCCGCGGCCACCGCCAGCGAACTGGACAACGACATCGTCAACCGGTTGCTGCGGATCGTCGAGTCCCAACAACAGTTGGGCGACAACTGCACTGCCGGCACGCACCTCAACCTCGGCGAGGGCGTCGTCGACCGGTACGCTCAGGTGAGTGACGTTTTGACCTATATATAATGACTGTGATTGGGTGGGTAGTCGTATTGGTTAGTTGTACGATAGATATGAGCAAATCGTATTCGTTACGGGCCATAGCGAACAAGAAAAATTCACTAAAAAATGTAAAAAATATGCATTTTAAAATTGTTGTGCATATTACAATGCATTGAAAAATAAGATTATTCGGATGAATATATTTTATTTAAATTGTTATGTCTGCGTCCGACGTTTCCGGTGCCCGTATTGATAATATCTTATACAGTGAACAATATCTGTTCATAAATTAATAACTGGAAATTAATTCTAATCGGTTATGTCTCTAGGAGCGACATGCATGTAGTCAACTGCAACTATATTTATATGATCCAAATTTAAAACAATTTAAAATTCAACGTTATTTTGGTTGTACATTAAATATTTAAATTAAATAAAAACGTCAACGGTAAAAATATTGATAAAATGATAAATTATTGAAAATATTCGTCTTAAAGTATAGAATCGAAGAAATATGCACTAAAACCAAAAGAAACTCGAAATATGCATTTATACGAAAAATACAATTTCAAAACTAGCTTTGTTTTAGCATAACATATTTGTTTCTTACTCTGTTTTTTTTGTGATCGTGCGAAACAAATATGCAAATGCTACAAGTCCTCTGCCCTACTAATGACTTAAATAGAGTTTTTTACGAACAAGACGAAATCGAAATTTCTAAACATCGTCGTTTGAATGGAAATTATTTTTTATTTATAAGACGTATTTCATTTCAAATGAGACTAATTGAAAATCATCTTTCCTAATATCGTACGAACAGATTTCATAATAATGTATAGAAATAATGTTTTGGACGTAATAAAAACAACAAATAAATACATTAATATTATAGATAAAATAAAATGTCACTCTGTTTGCTATAAGGAAAAAAAATGTTATACTTGGAGATACTCTTCGGTATCCAGGCATGTATTTCCTTTTTTTTTTACATTTCGTTTTAAATTGATTTCTAAAAATAATTATTATCATCATATCGTTTTTTATATACTAATATGACGTTGAGCTGACAGCATTATATTGTTAAAAATAAAGGATTATAAAAGGCAATGTTACGCGTCATCAGTCAGGTCACGAACATCGGGATGATAATTTAATACTTTTTTTTTCTTACAAGACAAAAGATTAAAAAGAAACCCACTTCAGTTGTATAGTATATTATCATGAGCTTAGAATCCTATCGATCCGATCAATCGGCCGGAAATCGTATTATGCCCCTCATAACAAATTGTGCTAATCACATATTGTATGTACGGTTGGTAATAGCACTCTTACCAAATTTAATCGATTGTACTCATGCATGAGGATTATTAACAAAATGCTAACATTAAAAACATTGTTTATTTTCACGAATATTAATCGTGTTACGTATAAGAAATTTCAGTGGTGGCGCTGTATATTAAACTCACGTTAACATTTAAAAAAAATTATCGAATGATATAATATTCATAGTACAATAATATATAGCGATTGTTAAAAGCATTTAGAACAAAAGTTAAATGGCGTTATTTACTACATTTAGCAGGAACGAAATACGAACCTATCGTCTACCTTTTTTTTTATATAAAATAGTTCAAATATTTTACAAAACGTTATATTGTTAAATTATATGTTGTATGAAATATACTTTGGGTTGGTCGGGTTATTAAAATTTACCTTTTAAAAAATATCATATTTGTTCATCTAAGTTAACTTTTCAAACTCTTTTCTTGTGAACGTCCAGAGTTATATTTAATTAAAAAATATATCTATCCTTTAAAACTTTTTATTCTTTTAAATTAAATAAATACATTTATGAAACAAGACCTTTTATAAATCTGACAGATTAAAACAATATTCCAACACTTATAGAAACACGAATAATATTTATTTTGAGAACTGTTATTAATGTCAATGTTATGCTAAGACAATAGTTATAAAAATAAAAGATAACAATAAATGTTTCCAATATTTAATTCAATATTTATATGTATGTACTTAAATCGTTTTAAAATGTAATTTACTTAGAATAATTAATACTATTAAGTACCAAGTAATGATACATTGAAGAAGCAAAATGATCAATTTTTCTGAAAAAACTTTATTCCTCACTTTTTTTTTTTAGTAATATTCTCTGTCCAGTAGTCTATTCCCAAAAATAATATAATACAGATACCTAACTGGTTTAACAATAAATTAAAACTTAATATTATAGTTCGACCAAGAATATGTGTATTCTATAAAAATATTGAATTTATTAGAAACAATACTTTATTAAATATTAAAATGTATTTAGTACTTAAGTCTGAATATTAATTAGATAATATATATTTAAAAAAAGAGACAAATATTCAATATATATTTAGTTATATGACCTACACTAGAAATAGAATATCAATCACAAGTTTTAAAACACTTGTTGTTTGTTATAATTTATTATAACTATTCTAATCCCAATAATCAAAATCAATATCAGGCCATTGTTGTCGTATGGATAAGGAACATACATCACGAAAAAAAACATTACCATTTAAATAAAAATATTAAATAATGTTTATTGATATTTGTTTTAATTTTTGAAAACAGCGTTAAAGTTTAAATTGATGACAATATAATATTTTAAATGAATTACATAAATATTGATTAACCGAAATTTTTAAATTGTTCCGAATTCAACTTATGAGTAATTAATTTTTTTTAAATTTGAGTTTTCTGACCGAGCATCACATTTATTATCAACACTTGTAGGAAAAAACTAAAAATTTGAAAGTTTCAAATGCTTACAAATAGCGTAAAATTAGACTGATTATTCCAAAAATTATTCATTAACTACTAGTGGATCGTTTCAAATTTGTATGATCATTTTTTTTATAGTAACAAAAACCGTTCGATGATTAATTGAAATGTTTTACTTAATCCTCCTCTCAAGTACCAACTAGATTCAACTGCTACCAGAATCTATTCTTAAACATAAAGGTTAAACCATTTTTTCTCCTATAAGAAGTTTCTCTTCTAAAACGATTCGATCATTAGATATAAAGCAATTTAAATATCGCACTCTGGACCAATCAGAAAAAAAACCTAGATAAAATTAATTTTATGAAACAAACAAAATTATTCAATCTGAAATAGAAAAAAATGTAACCCATATAGATAGCCTATCTTTGTACCTAACCATCACAGTTCATATATTTCTTATAACTAATGGCCTTTGTTGTCGATGATATTTTTGAGATCAATAAAAAACAAAAAAATTAATCACACATCATTGTAATACCAATACATTGTACATTCATTGTTGAATCAGAAAATTCTAAAAAATGACACTCTTTATGTGACATTTATTTATGTTGACAAAACTATTAAAAGTTCTAATAAGAAGAACAACAAAAAATATTCAGTGATTCGTTGTTTAAATAAGTAGTTTGAAAAAAAATATTCAAATTAATCAAACTAAAGAGTGGATAGCTCAACGATATTTGAATGGAAACTTTTTTCATTATGTAAAAAAACCATAGGTATTCATTTTACGAATGGCGGTAAAATATTATCAAACAAATTGTATTTATTCATTTTTTTAAACTTTGTGATTGTGGTTGAATATTAAATTGATATTACTGTTCATTTAATAATATAAGTTTATAGGTACATATAATATTATGTCTACTATATTTCGTCTAATAATAATATTGAAATTACTTTTATGTATTTTCTTACCAACTCTAGTAGTTATTTAATGTATATTCCATAATACAATTTATTTGTGTGCGGTAGGTAGGTATCTTCTTAAAACGAAAAGCCTTGTAATCAGGTTATGCTGTACATTCAAAAGATGACTACTCTTAGGATAATAATAATTTCTGACAAGATACATGTAATATCTGCGGGGTGTATATAATTTTCTTATTGCAAACATACATTTAGACCTTCCGTTCGAATCAAATTAACGGACATACAAGTGTAGTTTGAACAGTCTTATACACACAACTCATTCAAAAAGCATTAACTCTCTATTTTTAAAAGTCAGTTTTATTTTTATTTGACGTTAAAATAGACCAAAACTTCTGCGAAATTATAGTAAATCAAAATTACTGTCGATTTGAGTTCACCAACGTCAGAGTTATGTGAAGTTTGGATAACATTATAGAAACATAATAGAAACATTTTTAATCTAGTCATAATACAATTCTATTAGAAGTTGTATGTTGAAGACATTAATTAAATTTAAATATTTATTTCAAAATTATAATTTTTGTTTATTAAAAAATAAATTGAAAACTAAAACCTATATCTACAAAATGTAAATAATATTTTCTGAAATTATTATCGCCTTTAGTTAGTGGTAAAAATAATGACAGTAAGAATAAATAATAATTTTAATTCAAAGCCTTAGTGGGTATGACAATTAATTATTATCATTAGTTTAAAATTAATCATGATATAAAATAATTATTTTATTGCAGTAGTCGGTGGGTATCTAAAAAAATATATTAATACTTAATAGATAAAGATTACTTATTCAATTTAAATAAAAAAATAAAACTTGTAATTATATGAAATAATAATTTATTAAAAATTGTTAGTTTAAGCAAAATATTAAGTAAAATAATGATAATTATTCGTAAAAATAGTTTTCATGTTAAGGTGTTATTTATTTATGGTCTAATCTACGATTTAATATTGATTTATGTTAAAACGATTTTGTTGATATATGTATGTCTATTACCTACCATAAAATAAATAAACGACTGTGTTTAAACTTTGAAAGTCATATTATTAAAAATTTTAGTAGCTTATTATCAATTCATCTCAATAAAATTGGATAGGTATAATTTTGTATAAAATAAATTATAAACATAATTTGATGTTCCGATGACGTGTTAGATATCAGTGTATTTTTATCAACGAGTGTACCAAATAATTCTCATAATTTAATAGTATAAGCAAAACTAATCAATTAA